GTCCTGGCTATGGCAGCACCTTCAGCTCCCCGGCTCTGCGCCCTTCCGTCCTGCGCGCTGCTGCTCCCCACCTTGCTGACATCCCCAGCCCAGAACGTGCCCACTGGGACACACAGATGAGCTGCAACAGCCAAGGGACCCATCTGAGCATTAAGGGCTTCGGGAGCAGAGCCGTGCATGGCCACACAAATCCCAACCGGGCTTTAACACACCAAAATCCCACTGCTCTGCCCGGGGGCCGCATCCAGCTGTTTTCCAGCCTTCAAGCCCCAGCATCGTTGCCCTCCCGCGGGCACCGGGAACTGGAGCAGGAACCAGGGGCCAATCCCCTTTGCACTCAACCACCTCTGCTTGCGACCACGAGATCCCGAGCGGTGGCAGCTTTACGAGTCCCACGGCATTTTGCTGGCAGGTTGTGTTACCTGGCAACCTGCAGTGGGGAGAGGAGGGAAACGCTCAGCCAGCGGCACCGGCAATGCTCCAAACTGGGGTGTGGGTACCCCCAAACCCCCCCAGCACAGCAGCACTGCAGCTGCATGCCCAGGTCCTGGCATGGGGCCCTGCAGTTGCCTCTGCTGCAGGCTCCCGCCCTGCCAACGGCCCCCAATGGCTCCAGGGGTTTCTGCCCTCCATTGCATGGCCTCAGGCTCCTGGATCTTCTTGCCAAGGCTTTCAGGAAGCCGCAGGACATCTCTCTGTTGACCACGTGGCAGCTGCCCCTGTTATTGATGTCCCCTTGGGGACATCCATTGGGCTGGAGGTCCCAATGTCTCCAAATTACTTCTTCCTAAGGAGAGCAGAAGCTGCGAGGCAGGGAGGTGCTCGGGACGAGCGGAGCTTCACTTGCAAACCTGCTTTGGAGCTGGGGCTGGAGCCCGGGAGGGACCCCCAGGCAGGAACCAAAACACTGTTGCCTCCCTGGCACAAAGCTCCGCTGGGCTCTCCATGCCCTGCGCTGGCTCAGGCAGTATCTCTATGCTTGGCCCCTGCCCCCCACGGGGGCCGGGTCCTTGGTGCCCCAACCACACCACGTGAGCAGCCCATGGGGTGCCCTGCACCCTGGGGCTGTGGGTCCCTGCAGCCCCAGTGCCCATCATCCCCCCCACCAAGCATCCCCCAGCCAGCCGGACAGGCGAGCGGCTGTGCTGGATGTGGGAGACAGCAGCTCTGGCACACGCAGCCTGCGGGGAGAGAGGGATGCGAGATGGCTTGGCCCCGGGGCAGCCGGAGCAGAGCTGGAGGTGGGCTGGTCCCCGGGAAGCATGGACGGAGACCGGTGGCAGGAGAGGCTGAGCTCTGCTGTGGGAGATGCACTGCGAGGAGGAGGTGCCCTTTGCTCCTGCCGGCTCACCAGGCAAGCTCTGCACTGTGGGATGGTGGGCAGCGGTCGCGGGCAGCCCTGGGTGCTCTCCCCCTGAGCTGTGCCCCCACCCAGGTACAAACTAGGACCTTGGTTGTGCTTCTGAGGCAGGTGGATACTGGTTTGCATTGCCCAGGCTCAGCTGCTGGGACAAACTTTAGCCCAGCTGCCCCCCACCTTACTGCCGGGGTCCACCCAGCCCCAAAGGAGCCCCAGGGCAGCAAGGGCCAGTCCCCCACCTCTCCCAAAGCCATTGCTCACTCCAGAGCAGCTCAAGCAGCTCATTTTGCATCCCAGCCGCTCACCCTGCACCGCTCCGCTGCCCCTGTCCCTCTCCACCCTCCCTGCCTGTCCAGCTCGGTGCTGCTCAGCTTTGCACAGGGCTGCAGCCCCCGTCCCTTCTCGCCCTGGGGCAGGGGCTGTACCCCAGCCGTCCCCCCTGTACCCTGCTGCTCCCCGCGTCTTCCCGGGGCCCCACGCCGCAGCCT